ACTTTTCTCGTAAATAGTATTAAATTTTTATTCAAAACAATAATAACATTTTGAAATCTAGGGGGAGTGTGAGCGCCCCTGCCCCTACCTGTGTACGTCCATGATCTGTAGTGATCTATTATAATGCTAAACAGCATTATTTTTGTGGCGGAAAAATCACAGAACTTCTATCAATCCGTGTTTTCATTTTTAAACGTATCGAACTTAATTACAATAAATTTCGATTCATGAATGTGGCTTCCATACCTTGCAGAAATAAAATGGACTTAGTAATTATAAGATATCCTATCTTTTAAACCACATCACATTTATCAGTGGATCCTCACTAATTAATATCAGATAAAACGAACAATTATGATACACACAATATTCTAATGTCATATCCATTAACGGTCTCTAGAAGTTGTTGAATTTGTGATTTCTGTCTTTATATTTAGAATAACAGTGATATCTTTTGTGGTTTGAGAAATATTTTTAATATCAACTACAAGATTAATATCAACTGCAGTCTGATCAGTTACACCGATTCAGTAAAATACAGTAAAAATTATAATTTATTACAAATCAGCTTTCAGATTACCGACTTTTATTTAGCAAAGATATTGCTGATCTAATTTCGATTAGATTTTGTTTATGTATCAAATAATTACGTATACTTTAAAACTCCATTGAAATCATAAAGTTCCTACACCTAAATGCAAATTGTTATCCCTACCTTAACTTTACCCTGATTCATATTACATTAATACCTATATATCACTCACCCTATTATCTGTTTTTAAAAACTTTCTGTTTTTCTGTATTTTTGATGAATCGAAAATATCTGCAAACTGAACCGTCAAATCTTGACATCTCATTGATATGGAATTTTATCGCAAGGTAAGCAAAAGTATTTTTAAATGAATTTGCATGTTATAATTTAACTTGTCTTATCGCAGAGCTCGTGATGTTTGTGCAAAACGTTATAAATAAAATTAAATATTTTGCAAATGTTTCATACGCAAACGTTACTGCTTTCATCATAATTAATTCACAGTTACACGTAATGCCGCGTTGAAAAAATGTTCAAAGTAGTTATTACAATTGGTTTTTTGTGTGACTGTGACTGTGAAATTAAAATAAACTTATTAGATTACTAATGCATTACTAATACTGCAGCGACTTCATATTAGTAAAACATTTGTGGACACAACTGCATTTTATTAAACCGCCTTTAAAACTTTGCACTATAATAACAAAGTCGAGGACTGTTTTTAATCAATAACAAATAAAGATATCTAATTCAATATGACTAAGACAAATTATTGATAACTTTAATTCTAATCGCTTAATTCAGTATAGGTCTACTGGTTTTAAAATAACAGATACTTTTTAAAAAAATATATACCATATTTTTTTGATATATGGTCTTTCACAAAGAACTTCTGTTTTCTGATATTTAGAATTTGTTATTTTTTGTGGAGACAACAAAGACAGGCAATGATTCATAAGACTATCTGAAACATTTAAAAATATGTATGTTTTTAACTACCACGTCGAATGCAAAAAAAACCTTTAGACAAAATATTTGACTAGAATTAATAAGTAATTGCCACAACATAGGCTAATTTTAACAAGACTGACCTATGTTTCGTTTCACAAGAAAGAAGTAGAAACCTAAAGAAATCATTATAATCATTACATTTGAACTGAAGGTGTATATATATTGATGAATAAAGTCAAGTCTTGAATATAATGAAATAATTATAAATCAAATATTGAAAATACTATTAAAATTTAACAATCTGTTACTAAGTTATAGTTGGACATTCCAATCAATTTAAACAAGAGAGTTAACACGAATAAAATTTTTCCAAATCTTTTGAATTATTATTTATGTGTTTAATAATGATGTATCGAAAAGGTTTAGTGATATACAAGCGAACTTTATGTTCTAAATTAGTGGTACGTTTTCACCGGCTTCGTTAAACCAGTTAACTTCAAGTAATTCAAGCAATCTTAAGTAAGTTAATTGATCTATCGAAGTCATTGGAAACATACTATAGATAGATTGAATGTCCTAACACTATGTTAATATTGAATTTAAATAAATTCTAAGCAGGACTGCCTCCTTAAGATGTCAAAATATAATTTAGAATAGATTTAATGCACAAGGATGCCACTACAACCTAACGTAACTTATATATAATACAATATTTGTTTTGTTCAAATTTTCTTTTCCTATTTACAATAACATTAAAATTTAATTAATAAATGCATTTATATATACAACTTTTAGTCACATTTTTTTAAGACACACCCACTTGTAATATATTTTTATGGAAGTTGTAATATATTCACATATCGCAGGTGGATAAATAACATTAACATGGATTAGATAAAAGGCAAAACACATTCTTTTAACTGTAAAATTAAAAAAGTATTTAAATAAATTAAAAAACCAAAGAAATTCTTATATACAAAGACGAAATAAATAAATATTTTTTCATATATCTTACTTTTTTGCTTACAAATAAATAAAAACAAATTATAATATGTGTTATTAATCGAAACAATTTAATAATAATAGTAAATTGTTTAATTGTACTAAAGTAATTATAGAGATGGCTTGAGAAAGGTCATATTGATACATAATGTTATGTTGCCAATCAAGGAGTTACTTAAAAAATTTCAAAGGATAGTTAAGGATATGAAAATAATCGTAATAATCGTAATAATACTCCTCATCAGGCTCTAAAACACGGGAAAAGATTGTAAAAGTATGCAATAAATAATATCTCTAAAGAGTATTACAAAAATTTAACAATCAAACCTGGAATTAATTAATTCAATCAATTCTAAATTCTAAAATAAATAACACATCAAGTGAATTTATTAATAAATTTTCACAGCAAATTAACAAGGCGTCAAATTAGAACAATACAAGTGAAGTACGGCTTTGGATTAATTAGCTAATCAGGGCTGACACTGAGTACTTGCAAACTTAAAATAATTATTTACGAATAATGAAAGATAAAAAATATTTTGAGAAAGACCACTGTTGATGGAAATTTGGTAATACTTGGAATAGCTATTGAAAAACCTTTCTATCAAAATAGTTTCTACTGCATCAAGAAAATATTTTCCTCCGTACATAGTTTTTGCATTTGTATTATTTTTTTATTCTCTTGTATAGTTCAACATTAGGTTGGGGTATTCCGGCGATACAAAGAACCCACACCCACTTAGACTTACTGGTCCAATGTTTTACCTCAGTTCAACAAAACTTAATAAAAAGAAAAGAATAACAATAAGAAACTGACAAAGATAGCAAGTTAATGTTACTGATCGACGAATAAATTAACCATTAGAGGCTTGGAATTTCTTGTTAAAAACCTTTATCAATTAATTTATATAAATAAATCAATTCTTGTCTATAATAATAATAAAATACTAATGTTAGAGAATCTACTATACTCTAAATTGATGGTACCCAATGACCATCATTATTATTTACAAAACTATAAGCTAACTAAAAAATATTGTCTTATATTTATTGTACGTAGTGAGTGCGAAAGCATGAAAACATTTTTTTTTATTTATTTCTTTAATATACTTATATACTATATTTATTATTTATTGTATAAACAGCCTATAACAATTCACATTAATTTTAGCATCTTCCAGCTAATTGCTAATGAACTACAAATTGTATTTATTTAAGAGTTCAAATTTGTAGATACAGAAGAAGTAGAAATTATTCATAATCTATAAAATATAGTGCTAATAAACCGCAAAATTATTCTCCAAGAAAATATTAAGTAGATATAAAGGAGCTGTTATTTCTCTGATACACTTTTAATGAATCATTTTATATATTTTTTGGTACTTTTTTGATACTGATTTGATGGCGGAAGTCGAATTCGGTTGCCTAAATGATATAAAATGCGAATGAAAGCAATGTAAAAGAAATTTGAAAAGAAAATATGCATGAATCACTCTTTAAAGATAAAGCAACTAATGAAAAATATTGCATTGACGATTGATTTAATGAGTACCGTACGCTCAGGTAAAATCATTACTAATTACTAAGAACCAAACGTGATGTAAAATTAAAACATATTACAAATATATTATAATCAATATTTGCATATATTTATTTGACTAAAGTATTGTAGATAGAGAATACTTGTATTTATTATTTTATTCAAACATATAATATTTTATATCATTAAAGCATTTTATAGAATTTAGACAATTTTATTTAATTAAATAATTAAATTGATATGAAATGCAATGAAATTATACATATTTAAAGGCCACTATTAGCTATTAGAACCAAGTGTCTCAGGCTGAGTATTATTTACACATTTCTTCAATCAGCAATTAATTTTGTATATAAAATGTATTTTTATCACTATACTTTCTCAAACAAGAATGACAATTAATCCATGTTCCTCTCTAGAACCAACCATATGATAACTAATCACATATTTTTAATTAATAAGAATAGAAGCTGACGACAGCTTTCTAAATGAATTTGAAATATTAATCCAATATGTAGTAAATAGAAACTAAATTTTATAAAATTTTTGAAAAGCTAAGTGAAATTTTTGAACAGCTATAAGCAATACATAATTAAAAAAATTCTTTATGAATTTACGATTAGTCATAACAATATATCTTTAAAAATTCGAAGAAAGCCATACTTATCTGCAGTTAAAATTATCCTAATAAAAACCAGTATTGGTATTGGTTTTATTTCAGGTTTTCATCGCCCTCAACGTGAACTGAGCGTACAATAAACAAGACGCATGCAGCAACAGAATCAAAAGCAAAGAAGGAAAAGACTAAACATTTTGAATGACAGGCGCGACACCGCCCAAATATGACCTATGCATAACGCTTTATCGAATTTTCATAAAATTGCTCATTTTTAAATAAATTTTTTTAATTGTAATTTTAAAAATTTAAAAGATATTTTTTATACAAACATATTTATTAGAATTTTGCATACAAACCTGATTTTCATGCGGTACCCAAACCAGACGCTTTTGTGTCCATTCGGCTTGTGTTGCCGGATCGTTAAATTGATTTCGTTCTACCGAAAGATATTTGAGTTCAGGATCATTGCGATCAATTTCCTCTGCCATTTTTTTGCTTATTTCTTTTATAATTATTTTTCACAATATAAACTTTAATTGTATTCAGTTGAATTACAAAAACAAAAAATAATAAATAAATACTTAATATAGTTTAACTCGCGAGCAAATATATTCGTTGTCTGCTAAAACAATAAAACAAAAACAAAAATATGTAATTTCCTTTTCACTTCCTAGCACTTGAGATTAGCAATTTATAAATAACAAATTTATTTATTGAATGATGTTTACTTTTCAATGCTTAACACTTGAAATATTTGAAAATTATAAATAAATTGCATTAACAAATTTTCGTGTATATAAATGTATAGTTGTTCTTTTTTTTGTAATGACAAATATTTATCTGGCAACTTTTCTTATATTTTCTCCTCCTTTTTGTTGGTATTTTCTACCCAAAAATTTCTTCACGGCAGAAAAATCTTAAAAGTGTAGAATGTATAAACAAAAAAAAAGAGAAAAAGCAGAAGTAGCCGGACAAAGCAAATTATTTGGAAAATTTTAAGATATTCTATCTTAACATGATTAAGGAAAACAATATTTATAATTTTAATATATTAGGAACTAATTTTCACTATATCCGATAAATATTTAATTATTTAAACATATATTTCAACACAAAGCGGCATTGTCGATTTTTATTTTTCATCTAATTCAATACTTGTTTTCCGTAGCTCGGACGCAAGGCAAGTATTGTAAGTTTAATTCTAATTGGTTTTAATACGTGTATAAACCGTGTCTCACTTTTAATTTTGTTTAATTTGTATATTAAATGCAAATAAATATTGCTGCAAAAAATTCACTTCAAATTCTTTTACAGAAATTCTTAAAAAAATCCAAACCGCTCGCACCAAACGAGCGACTGAAATGTGACCGTGCACTTTAACGACTGAATTCGAAAAGCAATGAAAAAACAATGTAGTGTGTTGAGTGATTTTAGCGTCTTAACAGTGCTGTACAACTTTCTTATTAACATAATCCACATAGATATTTCGCAATATCTTAATATTTATGAATAAATATTCCCTCTTATGATATTATTAATTTCTAAAATTAAAGACAATAGGTATATTTTATATAAAAAATATTATAGAATTAGCTATAACTACACCATTAATTGAATTTATATAGTATGGCAACCACGTTACCAAAGAAATCTTTTGAGTGATTTTCAATTGTTGCTTTGAATTAAATTACACTCAAAGTGACAAGACTATGAAGTATGTTCAGCGACATGCTTTCTTAAATAAATTATTTTTTATTTTAAGTAATTTATAAAATAAATAAGTTTCTGTTTATTATTAAAATTAATTTTTAATTATTTTAAATTGTTTTGATTAAAATATTTGTATTGATTATACCTTAATGTTGAGTTTTATATATGTTTTGAGTTATTAAGTATAGTAGGTGACAAGTGTCAAAAGTCTCAATATGCGTCTTATACTGCCGAGAACTGGCCCAAATAGCTAAGAAAAAGAGAAATTGGAAAAACCCATCATTCAAGGTATTTACGAATAACTCAATTTAACCGTAAACTGTTTATGTTTATTGACTAAAACAACAAGAAAGGAATTGGCAATGTAGTTCAAATAGAGGGAGAGAAATAAAAATGGTTTGTAGCTTATATTGATAAATAGATAGATAGGAAGTTCCACGTATTGTCTCTAGTGAAAAATAATAATAGAAACGAAAAAACCTGATAACTTGAAAACTGAGTTATGAAGATAATTCTGCAAGCGATGTAAAAAGATTTTAACAACAACTTACATTATAGGTACAGATCTACCTATAATGACAATAATGCTATGCATGAAAATATTTAAACGAAAAAACTAATTAAATATTGTATAATGGTTTAAAATATTTTACAGAGGGTTTGAAGCCCGAAATCCGACTTGTTTATGCTACTGAACTCTTAAATTTTTAAAAGAAATAAATGCGAAAATCTATTACAAGGCCATATATTTAAAGTTAGTTTAGTACATGTGTGTAGTCATTTGAATCTATTTTTCCTAATGGCAATGGTATATAGAGTGCCACGGGTCCGCCATGAGTAATATTGTTATTGTTTTCAGTGCAAATTATAAAATTAAGAGTGAGAGTAAAAGCAATATGTTTGTTTAAATTTAGTTATAGCATGGGCACTATACTATCTATGCCTCGTCACTTAAGCCAACAAGTATTGTTCAGTAATCAGTGTCAACATATGTGATTTTTAGAAGAAAATTATTACAATTTCTGTGGGACTCAGCATAGATCATGCATTTTCGTCAAAACCCGAACAAGGCAATAATTTAAAATCTTGCTCTTGATTTGCTTAAAGAAGTGTTGTTGCATAGAGAGTACTAAAAAAATTATATGTCAAGCCGACATAGTATACATGCTGAATAGTGTAAGCACGTTATATATATTTTGCAATGAAATGCAACACTGATGTTATGAAAGGAAAATGTAACATTTACTTAAAATAGTTAACTGGGTAGAAACAGTGACGGCGTAATCAAGTTCGTCTATTGCTTTAGAAGATTCATTGCTTGAATAGTTAATAAAAGGAGAATCTTGTGCTTATAACAATGATATTAGACAAACATATGTATTATATGAACTTACATTGTTTTTGAAAAATAAAACAGCAATTGTGTGCACTTTTATTATTATTGTGTGGGTTTATTAAGTAAAGTAAAGGGGGAAGGGTACAGTTGTAATTAAACGGGAACGCCCACAGAAAAAACTACAGTAAATACAAGAGTGATTTTAAAAGTAATAATCTAGACATAATTCAACGCATTATCACATAAAATAACACTTGACCTACAAGCAGTTTAATATGTCTACGGCAATAAGAGGCACGCCCACATCGCAAGGAGGAAATGAACATATATCTCATATTAAGAATGAAATTATTAAAGATGAAGAATTAAAACTTAATTGTGCAAATGAAAATATAAAAAGTGAGCCAGTCTTTAAAAATATGACTCAAATTAAATACGAAACCGAAGGATGTAGTAATGCAGTATTTGATGAAATGATAAATCCAAATTTGAACTTTACTCCTAAAATTCGTTTAACGCCCACTTCAAAACTGTTAGCAAATCCGAATCCTGTAGATCCTAAGCGAAGATTTGTGTGCCCACACGAAAATTGTACAAAGAGCTACGGCAAGAGTTCACATTTACGTTCACACCTAACGTGGCATACAGGTATTAAACCCTTCGTTTGCAAGGAACCGAATTGCGGAAAGGGTTTTACACGTTCAGACGAGCTAAATAGACACGTTCGCACCCATACGGGTAAGCACATATTAAAATTAAAATATATGTATTATTATAATATTTAATTAACAACTTCGTTCCGCAGGTGAGAAGCCTTTTGAATGTATACAATGTACAAAAAGATTTTCACGAAGCGACCATCTCACAAAGCATCTTGCAACGCACACAAAACAATTACAATCAATGGCAAAGCGATTACGGACATCTATTCCACAGGCCAACATACATTTAAATGAAACACAGACAAAAATGGAAATCTATAGCAATGATGATGCAGCTGAAATAATAAATAGTAATAAAGATAATAACGATGGTGTCGATATTACAGATTATCTATTTAAATCTTCAACAATGGATAATAAATCAATTAAAATTAAATTGGAAAGACCTGTAAATAGTGAAGAATATCACGTAGTGCAACAGCGACATATAACGGCAAGCGAATCAGATGATGACATTCCGCCTGAATTAATGGTGCCTATCTCTACAATGATTTGTCCCACTTCAACTGATGAAGATGCCGACAATATTGACATGCCAGCAGTGAATAGTACAAATCACCTAAATTTGGCAATGGTTAAAAAAGATCATGATCCTGAAAGACCTTTTGAGTGTCGAGAGTGTAAAAAACGTTTTAAACGACAAGACGATCTCAACAGACATATAAGAACGCATACAGGTAGAGTCTGCTTACAGCAAAATTATATTCAATTTTTACTATTTAATGTTTATATCGAAATTCCTTATTTCAGGTGAAAAACCGTATGCGTGTGCAGAATGTGAAAGACGATTTGTGCGCAGTGATCACCTTAAGAAACATCTAAAAATGCATACTAAGGTCCGGTAGTAGTAATAGTTCTTTACGCCTGCTTTGAATACCGAAGGTTACATTGAATATGTGGAATATGCTGAAGTTAAAAACTTTTTGATTTGTATTGTACTTTAAGTATAGCTTTTAAGAAAATGAGAACGTGTTGCATAAATATTAAAGATTTTATTAAACTGCAAGAATATATTAAAATGGATATACATGATTCATATAACTAAATTTTATTTATAATTATTTACACTTTGTTATTCTATATAACGATTTAATTATTTAGGTATTATTATCATAAATCTATTTAAATGTGCACATTTCGTCGCAAAGGATACGTTATTTGAATGAATTGTCAAGACCTTTAAAATCAAATTTATAGATTAGTGTATTCACACAGGACATACATATTTAATTGAATGTAGTTTTAGTAGCTCTCCATGCTGAAGTTTAAATTTATAAACATAATTCGAAAGAAATGTGGGTGTAACTCATCTAAATAACAGAAAATCGTATTGAATGTAACCACAAAGAATTTTTACGTCATGTGACGTTATGCACATGTATGTTTGTATATTTATTGTAGGTGGGAGTGGCACTTTAGGTGTGGGGATAACAATCGCATAAGTTCCAGTTTTTGTATTAGTCATGTTATGTTTTTTCAAAAACCTACACACAAACACTTGTAGTTATTATATAAATAAGTATAAATTGCGCCTACGAAGGTTTTGCCTTAGTTTTGTACTTAAGTTTATGCGTGGTTTGTCTTTTACTGCCACACCCTATTTCAGTCTACATTAAAAGCAAAATGATGCACATTAAAAGTAAATGCCAAACAAAATTATTGGCATAACAAAAATACAATGGAATCGTTATTTATAATTATAAATAAATATGTAAATAAATCAATAAAGAGAAATAAAATGTCAAGTAAATTGTTTATAGTACCTGAATTTCTAATATACTTGCACGATCATATTATATACTATAAAATAACATAAAAAAATACTTTATATACTAAATAAAATTTTATTGGAAAATTATGAAAATAAAACTTTAAATTTGTTCTTTCATTAAAAATCACATGTTCTAAATATTAATGTGAAGCGTTTAGAGATATGCCCAACAAAATATTTTTATTGCATTCCGAAATTTTAGATAAAGATCCTTCGTTACTACGTTTCAAAACTAGCCACAAAAAACTCTAACCATTTGTTTTCGTTATTAATTGGTAGAGATAGCTCTTAAACGTCAAGAGTAATTAATTTTTATTATAACTTATTGGTTGTGGAATCAATCGCAACAATCACTAGATTTATTTTCAAAAGCATTTGAAACCTCGATATCCATTTTGGTTTGTGCCTGATAGTAGTAGTAGTTGAATTTTTTTGGTGCAGCGGAAGCACTTAAACCGCTGCTATCAATGCTTTCATAAATGCTTTCACTTAATATTTTCTGCTTTAAATTACTAGAGTGTAAATTGCCGACGAATGCTGTAGAACTAAATGAGGGCGTAATTCGATTAATGACAAATGAATCAACAAATGATGAAGTCAAATTTTGACTTGGTCAAAATTTCAAATCCTTTATAGCCTGTGGCAAATCAGGTAATTTAATATCTTTGATTTGTTGTGGAATGTTCATACTTTTAACTGCGCTTACAGCTCTCGCGGGTGCAGCAGAGATTCCAGCCTAATGTTAAAAAAAAATTATTGATATTAATATTAGTTTTTTTCCCTTTTTTATATAGATATAATTATGTTTACCTCTTGCTTAACCAATTTATTTTGCTCCTCTATTCTAGCTAATATATCTGTCATATTAGTTTGTAAAACCATGCCACCCATAACTAGCTCAGCTAATATGTGATGCACTGCATCAGCATGAAATATCAAATCCAGTTCGCATACATTTTCAAAACATTTATCAAGTGTTTCAACAAAAACTTGTATTAGATCAAGTATTCCTAACTCACTCTCGGATGAATCAACACAAAATACAAAATATAATGTAGCATAGTGACGATAGATGAGTTTATAGTCAGATCCACCGATTAAGCTAAATAAAAAAAAAATTAAACATTAATACGTTAACAATTTATCTTGTGTAGTCGTTTACCTTCCACCTTCGAGAAAATTGCATACATTATCATCACGTTTTGAGACTAATTGAAATGTTTCTTTAATTATCTGTTGCTGCATATCTTCATTCTGAAATAATATTGTAAATATTAATTGAATAAATGTATATGTGCACATATGCATATAAAATCAATACAACACAATACTCACGAAGTACTGATAAAATTTAGACAGTCTTGGTTTACCATGATTGTTGAAGACTAAAATTGCTTTTATCATGTTTAATCGGAATTGCAATAAAATTAAGTGGGTTTATTCATGAAATTAAGTTAAAAAATATACACTATGAATTGAAAACTGTATCAATATTTGTCGCAACACAAAATCTATCCAGACGTGTACGTTGCAATAGCATAGAATATATTATGGGAAAACATTGCACTGCTTATGTGACAGCTGAAATGACTGATATTTGTATCAGTTCTTTGTTTATAAATTCCTTACTGTTAATAGCCTTCACGATTATTAATCGTATTCAATATTAATATTCTTAAAATTCATATGTCTGGTCAGCTTTGTATTCAGAAATTTATTCAAGGTTGGGCTTTCAGATAATTTTATATTATTAAACCTTCAATATGTGTTATTAAGAAATATACATTCAAAATGTTTTTCAATTCATTCAAAATGTTTTTCGATTCATTCAAAATGTTTTTCGAAATTAGAGACATTTTTAATTAAGTAAGAACGAATAAGATGTTTCTATTTAGAGCGCATAAGTTTAACATGCTAAATAAAAATAGTGAAAAAGAGCAATATAACAAACTTAATATGGTAACCATATTTATATGTACATTAAAATAATTCTCCATATTATTAACTCAACTCATTAGCTCAACTGATTAATGCAAAACTTTGCTAAGTAAAAATTGTGTTCTGCGAATACTCAATATGTAATTATAATCGGTAATGTAGCGTTTTTACAATAAACAATTATATTTTATTAATTACTTTTTATATGTTTTACAATATTACACTTCATATTTCAAAAATCTATATTTTTAAATATTTGTCTATCAAAAATGAATATTTCAATTGAGATTCACATTAAATTATATGTTTAATCTATTGTTCTATGACGGAGTGTTTGAAAGTGGAAGTTGAAAAGTGATGACAGATTTGCTGCAAACAGAAAAGTTCAAGTGCAGGTTGGTGTTTAATATATTAAATATATGAATACTTAATATTAACAAATACTCATTTTTAGTGTTAGTTCCGTGCTTAATAAAAATGTGAAGCAAAATGGGAAGCAATATATGTATGACACTGAAGAAGACACAGCGTGGAGTTCTAATGAGGTAAACAAACGACAACTTCATTTGGTACTGTCTACTAAATTGTATTTGTAATTTTTAGGGAACACCACAATGGATAAATATTCAATTTGAAGAACTTCAGGCGATGCATGAGTTTGAATTTCAATTTCAAGGCGGATTCGCTGGTAAACATGGCATTATGACCGCAGAATCTGCAGATGGAAATAAATTATGTGAAGAAACATTTTATCCTGACGATGTGAACTCTGTACAAAAGTTTAAATTAAAAAATCCTATTCTAAATAAGGAAGTATTGAAAATTAAATTTTTATTTGCCTCAAGTACTGATTTTTTCGGAAGAATAATTGTTTACAAATTAAAGGTGTTTTAAATAATAAAAAGGAAAAAAATAAATATATTCGTGTAAAAACTAAACAAAAACTTTTGTTTTATAATTAATAGGTTTTATAAATATATTTAACAATTGTATATGCGTTTACGAAGGCCTACAAGTTGTTTTGTTATGACGCATGGCTTCATCGTCAAGTTATGATAGTTACTATTCGATAGTAGATGGCGCTTGATTTTGTTTGCTGCCGAAAGTGTCATTCCAATGTCACTCTGACAGCAGGAAATGAATACATACTCAATAAAATCTTTCCTTCTCTCTTTCTTTCGAAACGTGGAAACGTCAACACTGGTTGGTTTTCTCGTGTTGTAAATTAATTTTGCAAATTTTTTATTAATTTCTCGCAAAGTAAGTGTTAAAAAATGTTAGAATGGCTTGTCTGAGTGCAATATTTATCATTTGTTAAATTTTTGTATAGATGCCGCGTGAAATCAAAGAAGTTAAGGATTTCTTAAACAAAGCCCGTCGCGGCGATGCTCGTGCAGTGAAAATCAAGAAGAACCCCACAAACACCAAATTCAAGATTCGTTGCTCCCGCTTTTTGTATACTTTGGTCGTGCAAGATAAAGAGAAGGCAGAAAAAATTAAACAGTCATTGCCACCAGGTCTGCAAGTTAAAGAGGTTAAGTAAGCTGCAATAAGTATTTACTATTCCAGTGGTTGCAGTTACCATGCCTTTTATTCTTCTACTCTGTTTTATAATTTGCAAAGAAACATGAATGCTGCTATGAAATGTAGCATTTAAAGCAGCATTTATGAAATAAATATTACAAATAAGTAGAATTTTGTGTTTATTTTTCATAATATTGCAGAATTGGAAATCAATGCTTAATTTGTGCAAAACAAACTAGCTTAAAGTTCGACATTGGATTGGATTATAAAGAAGCATAGTTTATTTTTTGATTCAATATATATCGAAATAACAGTTTAGAATACTCAATCAACTGCAATGTATAAAGATAAAAACTACTGATATTATCGACTCAAGTTCTTAAGAATTTTTTTAATATATGTGACAATTTTAAAGACAATTTTGTCTGTCCAAAATGTATAATGAGGAAAAAACAGTTTTTGCATCTTGTAGCTTATATTTTACAATATAATTGTTTCTTAAACTTCTAAGACAATTGAATAGTACCTGACATACTTATATTCATAAAATTTAATATAAAAAATGAATGCCATCATCCAATGCACATTTAACAACATAAGTACGTAGTTTTAAAAATGTTAACTGCTATTAATGTCGTCCTCTTCTCCGATTTCTACCATTGCTTGCATTATTTTCCTTTTAAGTTTCCTGCGAGACACATCTGAGTTCAAATTATGAAATTCTGTGGCAATTAGCTGCCCAAAAGCGTCCCATTGGTCCCTGATGATTGGTATACTTTTTTGCTCCACATTTGTTGAATTAAATGGTTCATCCTGGATAGGTGCTGTGGTAGATATAGCACTGGGTATTTCTATAACTGATCCTGCAGATAATTGAGTAGTTTGTGTTGAGCTAGGATTGATTATCATATCCTGCTGAATATGTTTTGTATTAGGATTTGTTACTATTGATGATTTTGACACGTGCTGTAGAGTAAAATAAGTTTTTTTGCCTTCAGTTTTGTTTGGAGTAATATGGAGTTCCAATTCATCAATATTTGCGCTCTTTGGTTCGGTGGAATTAAATTTTGTATCGTCCTCACTCTGTTGAGGAATATCATCCTGATCTGAGTGTTGAGTAAAAGTTTCATCACTAGTGACTGTTTCATTGAAAGTATAACCTGCAGTCCAATCTACACTATTTTCTTTATTGGTTTTCATACGATCTGCGCACTCCGTTTTTATTAGCATTTTCTATTCGAAATATGAATGGTTTTATATTTATGTTTCATGTAGTTGTTTTTAAGATATGTACTTACTTTGGATGGTGGTCCTGCTTGGAATCCACCTGGTCGCGGCTCGATTACATCTTTAAGAAATATTAAAGACTCGAAATGCTCCCAGCGACAACTTTGACTGACATTAATTTCGACTGAGTCTCCTCCAGCTTCTTCAATTCTGCGCTCTAGTTTTTTATTCTCCGTATTAAATTGATTGCGTAAATTATGAATTTTCTTGCCAAATTCAAACTTAGTTATATTTAATTCGGTGCAAATGGTTGTGATGGCTTTCTCGCGTTCTTTTTTGCATCTGTAATGTTGTGAGAAGTAATTCCATAAGCATTCATTTTGTCTATAAAGTTGAATTAGCTGCCCAATTTTATTTTTTGTCCAAACAGTTGATTTTCTATGCTTCTCTGTTGCAATAATGTCAGTCTCCAATGGTTTAGTCATAGTTAATCACAACTCTCTAATTCTTTAATAATTTTAAAGTATAACAGCCCTTTAGAAATAATTTGTGGCTTGATATTATTATGCTTGTGCGTCACAAAAGATTTTATGTGATGAGATATATTTTATATGATGAGATATTTTCACAAAATTTAAGTGTTGCCAGATTATAGTTTAAAAAATATTTTTATTCAATTTAATATGATAACTTATATATCATTTTTATTTTTATGTGATTTATTTATTTTTATTCAATAGATTATATATTTGGAAAAGTTTTTAGGTATTTAAATTTAATTTGCATATATATTTACATACTAAATTTTATGTATATTATATAAATACTCAAATAATCATAAACATAAATAACTAAATAAAATGCATAAAATACTCAAATTCCTCACAAAACGATCAAAATTTACAATATAGATAGTAAGAAGGAATCAGTTACAAAATCAATTTCGAAAAATTTTTGTCAACTGCCTTTGGGTACAAAGTTTTTTTTATAAATTTTCTTCTAAATGTCTTAATATTGCACCAGTTTCATTCATTTTATTTATTTTAAAAACAAATATCAACCTTCATGATATGATATCAATTTTGGTTAGAAATTCATCTTTCGCAGAGTTGTATTCGAATTTCCCATCATTCATACCTGCAATCAAAATGAATAATGATTGCATACATTTTATCAGTTGAAATTAATTTTTGTGCATAAAAGACTTTTCATTTAACATTAATGAATGCTGAATGTAAGTTTTAAATAAGGTTTTAGTTAAATATTGAAATTGACTTCTATTTAATATTAAATATATTATATTCGTAAGTGAAAGCTCTATTACGTCTATTTCTCTATTACGTTCCGAAAATTTTGATTGCAACTGGTGGATCATTAACGACACTCCAGCTGTCAGAGATAGTGGATGACTCTTTGGTTGTTTGAGTACCACATGAACTAACGCAACGAAGTTTGATTGATGGAATTATCAACAGTAATATTTTGCTAAAACGCAACAAAATTGAAACATTTTTAAAGCACTCATTTTTGGTGATAAAAAATGGATTAATTGCGATAATATCCAACGATTGTGGTCATAAACTGGAGACCTTCCACGAACGACTTCAAAGCCTGGATTGACGCTTAACAAATTTATGTTGAGTGTTTAGTGGAGTTGGAAGGAAATTTTCTATTGCGAAGTGCTCCAGTCTTGGTGCAACCACTAATAGAATTCTCTACTGCTCCAACTCGACCGATTGTTACATAATCAAGGAAATACGAATAGAATTGGTCAATGAAAAAGTAGTTGTGTTTCACCATGCTAATATCAGGTCACGCACAAATTTGATGACTCGAAAAAAATTGACGAAACTTGGGTGGGAAGTTTTGATACATTCACCGTTTAGCATGGACATTGCACCAACAGACTACCATTTGCTTTGAGCTGTGCAAAACTCTTTTAATGGTAAAGAATTGACCGACCGCAGAGCAGCAAAATTACTTTATCAAGTTATACGACATTATGAACATAGCAAATTTGGGGTGCAAAATTTCATTATACCATATACTAATCTATATTTTGAGGTATAGTAATAGTTATAATTATAGTTATTGTTTATTATAGTTATAATTATAGTTTAGTTATAGTTAGTTATAATTAAAGTTATATTTATAGCTATAATTATAGTTGTATTTATATAGTTATAGTGAAAGGTATTTTTATACACCTTATAATCATTTCACAGTATAAAATTTACAAAATCAAAATTTGAAATTCGTTATAAGCTTTGTTTTATTTAATTGTATCTTTAATTCTGAATCCTCAACTTAAAATTTGGGATAAGAACATGTTTTGAGTATTTTTCATTTAAGTTTTAAAAGATATAACAACTTTTCAAAGCATTTTTAAATAAAAAACCTTTTACAATAAATATAAAAACTAATAAATGGCAAAACAATAACTTCGAATTTGAACAGTCGAAAAACTGAAATTAGAAATTATATATATAGAGGAAGCAATCGTGACTAAAAAAATTAAGTACTTTAGCGGTGCTTTCTCGATATAAGACTTAGTACATTACTATACATATACAATGTAGACTTAGAAAGAAAAACAAATACATTTTTAACTAACAATATTTGAATTGTCTGTTTTACAATGTTTTCCATCTTTGACATTTGTAGATATTCTTTCATCTAGATCTACATCAGTTTCATCTATTATATTTGATTTCTCCAATACTTTAGTATTCTCTTCAATTTTCCCACCTTCCTCGTGAAAGACTTCCTTAGCTATTTGGCGTATATTGTTCAACAACATTTCTTCCACAATTAAATTAATAACTTCGTACTCCTCTCTATGGGAATTACACCATTTATCATCCTCATCATACATTTCTTGTATAATAATTTTTCCAATATCGTCACGTTTTGCACGTTGGCCATAAACAGAATATACATGTGCACGCTTCGGCGATGCTTTATCCATTGCAAGGCAACGCCGTACTTCTTTATATATGTTATTTTGTAAGCAACGCAACCGGTCGGGAGGATTGAAAAAAGCTAAATTGCTGTGAAAGTTCTTTGGGTCACCCTGCATTAGCACCTCTTTATGTTCCTCAATATACTCACGACATATATCAATAATTATTCGCTCATATATGTTTGTTATTTTTTCATCGATCAGCAAAGATAATTTTTCCCCATTTTCGCTAATGTAATCTGTAATTGTAAGATATCATTTTTTTAGAATTCTTCTAAAAATTTTCTTTTTCTTTTAATTTTTATTTTTATATTATGCTTACCAGTCTTTAAGTATTCGCAATACAACTCGTGTGTTCGTCGATAGGTTATATCTTTTATGCGTTCTTCGGATGGAAAAATTGTGGTCATAGGACTACCATGTGCCGGCGGTACGTATGGTGGAGGGGGTTTGTTTGGTATTTCACGCATATACATATACGACACAGATGCGACCTGCTCAAACTGTAAGAGTTGCTAAGAAATTTTTTGAAATAACGTGAGTGAAAGATATATAACTACAAGTCTTTTTTCAACTTACATCATTTTCAGCATTAATTTGCTGACAACGCCGAACTTCAAGCTCATTTATAATATCAGGCATTAATTGACTGTTACAACTGGCGGTAGAATTTGATGATATTGGAGACGGCGACGGAGACAGAGAGAGAGGTGGTGGTGGTGGTGGTAAAAGTTCTGCTTTGTTATCATTTGGTGGCGCCGGAAGTGAACAATTATTATTCGATACAGTTTTGTTTTCCTCAAAGCTGTTACTTAAGGTGACATCAAATGTAGTCTCAATTTGCGGCATTGAGATATCTTCTATTTTGGTTTCATCACTGCCTGCTTCAAAATCTGACTCGTATTCATAATCCTTCTGATTTTTATTTTTTACTTCGTTTAATAGTTGTTCTTCGTATCTTTTTAACGCACTTGTAGAGGTATATAACTTATCGTTGGAAAGTTCATTTATATGTTGGGACTCATTATCAGATTTGACAGACGATGTATCAGACGATAAGTTATGTTGAGTACAAATAGAACTTTCAGATTTTTCTTTTTCTAGTATAACACTGCCTGAAGATTCCTTTGTGGTTAACTCGGTTGGAGGAAATGAATTTGATTCTAAGAGTTGGGATATAGATGATGAAATTTCTTTCAAATTTGGTGACATATCGGGCATTTGTTGAGGTGATGAGTTTTTAGAGCTAACAATATCTGTTTTAAGAGTTGTTGATACTTCTTGAGAGTGCAATGATAACAGTTCTGAAACACTTGGAGTCTCTAAAAGTTTATCGCATTTATCTTGTTCTCTTGTGTTTAATTTTGAGTTTAGTTCCAAATTCATTGCATCAAATGTTGTATGAGGTTTTTCTATTGAATGTTTAAAGGAATCATTTTTGATTTGTTGATTAATGGTTTCCGCATGTGGAAGTAAACTTATATTATTTTCGGAGTTTTTAGCGTAAGCAGTATATTTTCGAACTTTTTTTAATAAATCATTTGAACTAGAACTTGTACCTTCGCTGAAAGGAGAAAAAATATCTTCATCGTTAGATAGTTCTGATGTTTTTATCGTTGTATCTGAATTGTTTGAAATACTGGTCGAAGAAGTGGCGTCTACGTTAAGATGTTCCGCAGGAATGTTTATATACTCTCTAGTTTCCGACAGTTTCTTTAAAGGAGTTTCCGGTGAAGCATTAACACTTTTAATAGACTCTTTAATTTGTTGCGTTTCTAGTACCTCTGCACATTCATTTAAAGTTGGATTTTCCTTAAGAGTTTTAGAATTGTTTAAACTTAGTTGTTGATTTGTGGTAGCAAATGGTTGCACTATAGTTAACATTGGAATTTGCGTATCAGATAGACTACGGTGCAATCCAGCATGGGGCAATATATTCCGTTCACTTAGCTCTTTCAACTTTTGTACATATTTTTCTTGCATAACAACTATTGGTTTAATATTATTTTTGAATTTGTTCGTTTCAGTTTCAGTTTCAGATTCTGAAATATCTGTCTTTGTTAATAGTTGTGATTCACCTGAATTAGATTCGCTACATGAAGACGGTACAGTACTAGGACTTAGATTTAAAGGAGGCACTTTAATAGTACCACCAGCGCTATATGATATTTCACTTCCATTCGTGCTTTTATTAATACTTCTCTCCGTATCACTTCTTTCTAGTAAATCAACAGCTATACGTTCTTCATCTTGTGCAAAATCATGTAATACAGCAATTTTAGCTTCTTCATATATTTTCTCTAAATCAGTTTTACATACTTTATAACGTTTGCAAGGTTCAAACTTATCTATTTGTTGGGAAGTAAGACGGCGCCACAATTTATTTAATTTATGACCACTGATGCGGACGTAATCCACACTTTCTGTACTACTATTTATATCATTTTGTACTGCCGTGCTACTGGATGATAAAGTGTTTAGCTCACGTAAACTGTTTTCAATCTCCTTAAGATGACGTTCCATTTTTTTCGATCTTTTCGATTCAGTTTGTTTGTTTGAAGTATTTTCTTTTTTATCAGAAACCTTATTCCCAATTATATTATTTAGATATATTGCTGTAGTATCAGTATCAGTGTTTGTTGTTTGTAAAGTGTTTGGTTGCGCATTATTACATTTAAGCAGCAATCGTTCCAACTCTAACACTTCTGCTTCTTCTTGATCTAATCTTTGATGCCATTGTATTAAATTTTGCACATGTTCACGGCGTTTACGTAAATCTTCTTCGCGTTTTTTGAGTAAATCTTCTAATACAGGAGAAAATTCCAAATGATAATTTCCACGTATTATAGGAGCCGAATGTGTTGCAGTCGGTGTGCCATTAGTATCCTGCCCTTTCTTTTGTTGGATGGAACGAATGGATACAGCAGCTAGTGGTGAAAGTCGTTTTTGTACTTTATCAGTGCACTGAAAACCGTCTACTGAAGGAATTGTGTACGCCTCAGTTGGATGGAATGCGTTTTCAAATGATGTTGACGAAACAGTTTGTATTAATCTTAAAAAAAAGATAAGATTGTATATCAAGAAATTTTTTAAGACATGTACTAATTACTTTATTCTGTTTTATTCTGTTTAGCAAACGAAAATATTTTATCTCTCAGATAAAAAGTGTAACCACCAGATAGAGACGATATAATTATTGCGAATACTTAACAGAATAAACAAATAACAAACAAAGCAAAATTAAAACTACAACAATTATGCTAATAAAATTAATTAATAAGCAATAATATCGAGAATAAACGTACAGAGCAATATAAAAATATTGATATTGATAATAAATAACAACAAAAAACACACATCTTTTTATGCATGAATTAATTTAAACCATTTGACAATACAGAGAAACATCATACTACATCATACTTCATACTATATAAAACACAACTTAATACGTTGTTAATATAGTAAACAAACACTTGATTGTTTGTTATTTGTTATTGAATTTAGCATGCACATGTACGAATATGAATGTGAGTCTTCTTAAAGTATCTCATTGGAATGTTCCCCCAAGTGATAAACTAAGTGCTGACATACATACAACTTTACTTTGCTGCAAACGCTGCATATTTGTAGTGTTTGTACTCGTACGCGTACTCGTACTCGTACTCGTAGAAGCAATATCTACCGAAACGGACAGCGTAGTAAGTTCTCTACACACGGTGTTTACATTGAGAGCATGGCCTTTTTAGTAACAAATATTTTTAGTTAAGAACAAGAACAATTAAATTATAAATAAAAATTACGGACTATATTTAACAAATATTTTGATGCGATAACAAAATGTTTTGCTCTAATTGATTACCTAAATATGATAGAAATTAAATTTTCCAAAATTTCATAATTGAAAATAAAAATTGAAACTATACTAGTTTATAGATATTTATATATGTTTGTATATACATATACAGTAATCCCCCCTATAACGCATTTCATATTACACGATTTCAGTCCCCCGTATAACACGGCCCTTCACCCATATAACGCGGGGATTTGTACAGTTCATAATTAGCTTCGCCTACCCTTGCATGGGTGTATACGGGAATACCTCTATAACGCGAAACCAATCTACCGCGTTATAGAGGAGATTACTGTATATATATTTTAAATTCAACATTCCTCAAATATTACCGGAAACATCAGACTATTTGTAATTATATAAATTTTAATTAAATTAATTAATGTACAACAGTAGTGGCAGTGTATTAAATATTTTTAATAAATCTAACTATGAGTACAATGAGTAATTTTTAGTTCCTGACCTCGTATTCTATTGGCTATATACCTATTTAATTATTTTAATAAATTTCAATATATTTATTTAAATAAGATTAGTTTATAAATTTAATGTCCTTAATATTTTTTTTTTGTATTTTAGCCCGTTCAATTCAAAAATTATATTGAACAAAATTTCTGTGGATAGATTTTTGAGATATGAGACTGAATTTTTCTTCTTCTTTTTTTCGGAGGTAGCTTCGCACGTTAGGGTCCGATAGATCGCACAATATGTTAATTTTAAGCAATAAAATCAAATCTCCATCAATCGCTTCTGAGTAAAATTTGAATATTGGTATCATAATTACTCGTTAAGAGCATTCGAGAGAAAAATTCTTCGGAAAATCTATGATCCCTTACGCGTTGGTGACGAGCATCGAATTATATGAAACGATAAGCTGTATGAGCTATACCGCAACATTGATATAGAAAATATTCAGCGGCTTCGCTCGTGCGAATGGAAGAAAGTACTCCGGCTAGAAAGGTGTTTGATTCGGTACCGGTGGTTGATTGGAAAACGCGGTACAGAAAGTCCTCAGCTTCGGTGGCAGGACCAGGTGACCAACGATTTGGGGGCGCTCGGTACTACCAACTGACGACAGCAAGTAACCAATCGGGCTGACTGGTGGAGGCTAGTCAACGCGATCAAGGACGACTAAATATATTGTTTTCTCATCAAAATGAATATCCTTTATATTTTGAGAATAGTTGGTTAATAGATGAACCGAAAAATATTTAATATGAAAACTTATTTGCATATGAGAATAATTTATTTAAAGTAAAATTTGTTTATTAATATGTTTTGCTTTAACTTTAATACCTTAGAGTTAATTTTATTATATTAATGTTTTATTAACATTTCTACACCTTTCTTATAAATGGATTTACTGGGTTTATTTATTAATTCGAGTCACAACTTTAACCCATAAGCATACTTCTAAGATTTTCTTCTAAGACAATTATTATAATTTATTTTGGCTTATTTCTTTGGCTATTTTAGTTGCATTGGTAGGCATTTGAGATTTTTATTCATCAGTTGATTGAGGATTTGTTTTAATAGTACATTTATGGGGATATGTATTGTTCATAGTTATAAATCAATAGAAGAAAACCTTCTTATTGTGCATGAATATGTTTAAAGGTTCTGAACACGGTTGTCTAAAAACAAGGTTCTCAACAGGCCTCTGCTTCATATTTCTAGAGATAAATAACGTCTTCCTCGTACAGCAAGAACTGTATTCTTCCAATTCAGGTCAGGATACAACCATGTGCTAAACAGTAATTTGTTACGCATAAACACGTATATTTCCAATGTGTTCTTCAACTGGAATTTTGGCACCCATATGTTTCTTTTTCAAATACACACACAAATTTAAACCGTTTTTATTTAAGGCTCTGTTTCATCGATATTCTAAAATTCCTTCCCCTGGGCCCAGATGAGGTTTAATATCCTTAACATATACCTTTCATGCTTACTCGTTTCCATCTCCCTATCACCTTCCGTAACTAGTGTAATTGTGCAATATCTTGTTAATTTTTTTGTGTTTGCTCTTATGTCGGCATTTGGTAACAATAACCACAATAACCAAAATAAGAAGTAGTAATCTTGTAACTTCAAGTACATCAAGCAGCCAGTCAAATAAGCCTCAAATTTATGTATATAGAACATAAGTAGTCACGTTGTTGTTGGCGTAACTTGCTGGGATCTGCTTGCAATTTCTCTTTGGGCGAATGTGAACGGCACTTAATCGTAGTGATTGACGATTGGTTCCGGGACGTAGACCCGACTGTTCTTGGAACCTTAAGTAGCCATATTATGTGGCGCTTTTAATTTTGACTTTAGTTCGGTAATTGAGTTTTTTGAGACAGACTACCCGTAGAACTTATTAAGCCATTCTTTAATGGAATTTTTATATGTTCAAAAGTTTTATTCCTTGTTTTCTTATATAGTCCAATGCACTTATATTTTAATACATATTCTTTGACAGTTGAAATTTTGGAATAACGAAATAGTTTTTTCTGTTCAAAGGTTCCATCTATTGAATAAGATTAAAAACTTTTCGGCGCACTTATGTATGTATATAAGGATAATGAATTCAAATAAATTTCTTTTAATAATATTATTGATTCACTTATACAATTCTTATATATTTTCACGGCTCTAATTCTGATCAGTTCAAAATGAATATAACTTTGTGATTTTGTATTATTATTGTTGTGTTAATATTATTTTGTATCTAATTATATGCAAACTTTCGCACAAATATGAGAGCTCAGTAGCTTTATAGTGTTTATGCAAAATAAATTGAGAAGTTAAGTTTGCTTATTGGCATTAAATTATACCATAAATCCATAAATATATAGAAAAGCATATTTGGCACGTCAGAATTTTGTGGATTTTATTTGGATATATAATTTTGTATATATACATATTTTGTATATTCATAATTATAAATTAAAATCTTGTTTTTCGCTTTTATATTTCACATACTTTTACAATTTTATAAACTTGTTTCAATAAAAACATTATCAATAAAAGCTTAAAAATTTGAATATTTTATAAAGAAAATTATTCAAGGTTGGTATTATGCCGACTTGCAACATTCAAAACACATCAAAACGAATTAAAACGTTCAAAACAAATACACCCAAAGAATCGGAGATATGTCGGTGTAAAGGGAATGCGGGTTCAACGACAATATCATTTATTGTCGGTTCTAGAGTAAATAATTTTTGTACGTCATATGTAAAAACACCATTTCGAGAAATGAAAACAAAAACTTTTATTTATTAAAACAGAAGCAAAAATAAAATAATAAAAAAAAAGAATTTTTTAAACATAAACAAACGCAAAAATTTTTATATTTACTTGATTTATATTTCAATAAATTGAACCACACAATATACACTATACACTAATGTTTACCGCGTGAACGAATACTCAAGATATAAATCCGGAAAATATGATCGCGGTGGAGAACTCACGTCTTTCGCATTCCCTTGCGTACTCATAAAACAAACTAATATTAAGATACGCGATACGTTAAGGCATTCAAAACAATATTTGAGATAGATATACAGAATGCTGAAAATGTGAGAGCAGAAAGCGTTTGGAGAGAATAAATTATAAATAAAAGTAAAAACAATATCTGCCCCAAACAAACAATCCGAAAAAATGTAAACAGAGTGTATTGCTTTTTTTTCATATTGTGAGTAGATTTATGAATGGAAGCAGAAATGGGGACGTCTTTTGGGTCTCGTACTTTTGAATATAGCAGCAATGTGCGTGCACAAGCAACGACTATAATTATTTTTACAGAAACAAGAAGAGGGGAGGATGAATACGTTATTTTGAAATAAGATAAAGAAAATTCATTGTGCAATATTCTTTTATTGAGAGCTACATATAAATATATACATATGTATAAGGTAAAATTTTCACTGGGACGTTTTGATGACTATGTTTCATAAGTTTATGTGGTTGGAAGTATATATTTTTTTATATTTAGATTAAATATAATTTTGTTTTGGATTAATCGAATACAGTGTGAATAAAATTATATGAAATAAGATTAGTATCTTGAATATAACTAGAGTTTCGACTCAATTAAAATTAATTAAAAATATAAAATAATAATACAAGTTTTTAATTATTAAATACAATAATTATTAATTACAAATTTGCAGATTGCGAATATTATTTTTTTGTTAAAATTTAATGATAGATTAAGCATATCATAGGTTAAATTTATAGTTATCAAGCCAATTTAGCTTAACTAGATGGCATTGAGGTATTCTATATTAGTATTTACAATCTCAAGAAATGAGTTCGGTGAACTAGTAATATAGTATTAGTGCATAGCGGCAATAACAACACATATTTTAAGTATATATTTTTTGTTTTAATGCTTTTTTTGCACTGTTATTATGTTACTCGGTTACCGAATTCAATATCTAGGATTGTAAATACTACTATAGATGTGCAACTGAGTTGAATCTTTCATATATACAGTTATCAATAACAAAATTATTAAAACAAAGATAATTCAATCTATATTAATATCTCTCTTAGTTGCATTCACCGATACTTCATTCACCGAATTTCATTTTTTAAATATATAGATAACTTTCTGAATGAATAAAACATTAACGAAATGAAATACTAAAGTAAGATATACATTGCAAATTGATTTTTGGTACGGAGAAGTTTTAATACGTCATCCACTTTTTCAATTGCCTAAAAATACATGATAAATTGAACTCAACTGATTTGTAACTACCCTGCTGTCTACACAAATCACATTGCCAACAACACATTAAATCCCACACATTTTTCCAATAATTATTATTTTTCATATCACTCCTTTTTCTCTAAGATAATTTCGTAGCACCTTAAAATTTTTTTTTTGTCACTACCGAATATAACAAAGACAATGTTGTATACAAATATATCTTGACAAAGGCTATAGACTATAATCAAAATAACGATAATAATAAAATATACTTTTTAAAACTAATTTAAAAAGTGTTCTCTTATTTAACATTAACCAACTAGCTCGTTTAAAAATATATAATTGGACTTGTGATTGTTATTTAAAAAGCTAAAAGTAAATATATATATAGGATATATATTCTTTTCAATTTTCTAAATAACAAACATATATATATATATATATATATATATATATATATATATATATATATATATATATATATACATTAGGGATTTAAGATATATGTTTATGTTACGGATTTAAGAGATAGTATCATATATAAAGAAAAAATGTCTAATGTTGAATAGTAATAATAGTAAGAAATTGTCGTTAAAAATAAAAATAACAGCAGTTGATAAATAATATGTATGAATTTATCGTTATTACTTATATTTATATAATAAATACTAATTATTTATTAACTGTATTTTTTTAATGTCGATTAAATTAAATTCCTTTTAGCAATCTAATTAATTAACATGACACTCTAATTAATAGTTATGCAAACACGACAATAATTTTTGATTAGTATTATCCTAGAATATATTTAATAAATATTTTTTAAATATTTAAGTACTCATAATTTTATATTATAATGCATCTAAACTAATGGCTAGAGCTTTTGTTTATAAAGTAAAGATAAAATCAAAAACAAATTATTGGAGTAGAGATCATCAAATCTATATATCTGATGTGCACTCTTTGTACTTGGAAAATGAATGTGCGTCAAATTGGCGCCATAAATATTATTTTGATTTTACCCAGAGCACTATCAGACGACAAAAAAGCAGACAAGCAAATGTGTACATGTGTATTATTCTCTGTGATAAATGAAATATATAAATATAATACAATATGCAGAAAATAGTTTACGTATATATATAAATACGAGAAGCATAAATTTTGAATCAGCTATATAGTAAGAAACGTCCTATTACAAAAATAAACGTATGAGTATCAAAAAAAACAAAAAAAAAAATTATAAAAAGAAAATGTAACTATATATATACATATATATTTAATGAATTTTGTTTACGTGTATTTATTAATTAGTTTCAAACTAAGTTTATTATGTACTTGTATATTAGATCTGTTATAAGGTCTGTTATTTAACAAATCAATTTATAAATAACACTTGCTAAGTTATTGTAAAAATTTTGTAAAAAATATCATATAAAATAATAATACCTTTTGATTTCTTCACGTTCCTTTTCCATTTTTATTAATATGGCACGTTGTTTCTTCTTAATAGCTGAAAGTTCCATTACTAAACCCCGTGATTTATATTTCTCCTTCTGGACTTCTAGCAGAGCAATTTGGCTTTTTGCGCGATCTAGTAACGCTTTCTCACGCATTTTAAGTAGAGCCGCTAAATGTTCGGATTTTGAAGTTTCATTCTTAATTACTTTTTCATACTAAAAGTATAATAACAAAGCTTAAAAATGTTGAGTTTGTGTATAAAATCATATATACTTACAAGTCCAAAATTTGAATAATTTAACGAAGTTTCTGAACGATTAGAGGATATAATTGATATATCCAAATCACTTTTATTAAAGATTTTTAACAATTCATTGCCTATGGATTTTACAGATTTCGTTTTTATTGATGCTGTTGATGTTGTTCTTTTGTTAGTGGATTTGTAGTCTTGTGAAGTCGCTGATGGGCTGCTAGTATCTTCACTGCTTTTTTCTATTAGAGAAGTAGTAGTGAATCTTAATAGAAAAGATTTAGTTTCATCTTGTGTGTTAAATTGCTCTTCTTTCAACATATCAGTAAAGTGCTGTCCTTGATATTCTCCACGTGTAGTGTTAACATTAGTTTTAATTAAATTCTCTCGTATTTTGTCAGTAGTATTATTATGAGAACGGTTCGAATGTGTAGATTTCCAAATGCTATTGCTATTATTTTCGTCTCCATATTCCTTATTAGAGAAATCATGATCTTGTTTCATATCCTCATTTAAAATATTGAAAGTTTTTTTGGTTTTGATGAATTTTTTATTTTTTGATGAAAAGGATCCAGTTAAATTCTGTGTTTTAGGTGTACTTTCATTTATTGTGCTCTTTGTTTGCTCTTTGTTTTTCACTGAATTATTTTCTGAATGTGATAGTAAGTTCTCTACATTTTTGTTGGTTGATATAGTGTTCGTTGATTTAGGTGATTCGTCGAAATTTAAAGAATTTAACATTTTTTTTGATGTTTCAGTAGAATAATTTTTTCTTTTAAGCTTTTTGTCTGATGTCACACGTGAAGAATCGCTAGTATTTGATGTGGTCAATGGCTTATTGCATATGGACTTAAAATTATTTCTACATGCTACAGAATCTACAATTGTTTGCTTTAAATCAGATTTTAATTGTTCTATAGCTTTTAGTTGTTCCTCATATTGTAGCGAAATTTTTTCTTCTTTTTCAGTTCCATCATTGTGATCAACCAAGCTATTTATAGTTTCATTTGAATTCTTGGAAAAATCACTTGAATTACTTAATGAGTCTATAACAAGTATTGGCACTATACATTTTTTATTGGAACGTTGGGAAGACTGATACTTACTTTTTGAATTTAATGAGACTGTCAATTCATCTTCATATTGACTTTTTTCTTTAACGTTTTTCTCAGTCATTTCTGATGATTTCGACAATTCCGTTATTTTGTTCATTTCTGATAACAGATTTTCTTTAGTAGAACCCTCGAAGTCTGTTGAATAATTATCACTTGACGCGGTTCGTGGAGTACTTCTTTTTGTGGTATCATAAGAATTAAAAATTTGGTAGGATTTGTCAATTGTGCTTTTTAATTGTTCATTAACCTCGATAACCTGCGTTAAACTGCGGTTAAAATCACTTAATAGTTCATTCATATTAACTTCGGTTTGGTCATTAAATAACTGCTTTGGTTTGTATTGTTGAAGATGGTATGATGCAGTTTCAGTACTATCACTGTCAGATGTTTTGCTAGTTTTTGATTCAAAACTTTTACTAATACGTGAAGAAATTTTGAGCTGCTCCACATTTTCCAAAGAAAGCGGACTAACCTCAGAAGTTGACTTAGTATCCTCTGTTTTAACATGTGCACCTTTCTTGGGGCTATTAAAAATTGAACTTGATACCGTTGTATCATCATCATCTCGTATACCATTAGATTTTAATTCAACTTGTCGTTGTGAGGGCTTTGATTTCATTTCTGCATCCAAGCTTTCATGATGGTAGTTCGACTTGTAACAAATTTCTGAAATATTATTCGATGACATATTTATCGATATTGAACTGAGTGTTTTTACGTTTAACTCTGAAATACTTTTAGACTTCAGTGAGTCCTCTGTTATTGTTTGTGCACTTTTCATCAATTCATTGACTAGGCACATTGTATTTCGTGGTGTATAATTTGCTGGTTGCACATTAACATCTAAAGCAGTATTAGACTGAGGTTTCATATCTATTGTATCAATTTTTGAGTATTCTTTAATGACGCTATTAGGTATTGAATTTGTTTTACTGTCTAACTCTTGACTTAATATTAAATCCCTAGTAGATGTAATTTTATTATGTGTACTATTAGTTTGAGTATATTCTGTAATATGTGCCTGAGGTGTTCTAGTTATTGCTTCTAATTTCCTGCGAACCGCCATTATAAAATTATATGGGTAAATCTGAACAGCACTTGGTTTCAACCAATATGGCAAATCAGACTGCTCTTTTTCTACCGCTTTCTTATTATTTTGACCCATAACTGCGTTTAAATGTGTTTCTGTGGCGCTAACTTGTACTTCCACTGATTTTGTTTTGCTGTCAATAGGTTTTAATTGTACCGGAGGTATTTCTAATGTATGACTGTTACTTTTAATATTTATATCTTGCCCGTCTTCTTCAATGTGCTCTTGTCTTCTTTTGTCAATTTGAACTTTTTCTGTTCTACATTCATTTTGCGGGGTGCTTAGATGCGGTGTAAGCTTTTCCAGTGCATCGCTTTCTTTGTTGTATCTTGATTCATTGATGACACCAAATGAATAATCCTTTTGTTCCGGTTTACGTAGTAAACCAATATGTTTTCTTGTAGCATTTACTTTAGGTTTTTCATTTTTTTTGATGTGATCATCTTTTCGTTCATTCGTAATCGATGTCGGTTTACATTGATCGGAGATTTCTTCCAATTTTGTATTATTTGTCTTTAATTTCTTTTCATCTGTTTCAATATTTTCTATTTTATTCATGTATTCGTTTTTATGAAACTTTTTTCGGTCAATTGGTTTTCTAAATTTTATACTTCCCTCATTTAAATTACCGTGTATTCCGATAGTGTGAGTAATATTTGGTGCTATTGTTTCAGTCTTTTTTTGTTTCTTTTGTAAATTTTTGGAAATTATTTTTCTTGTATTTTTTTGTAATTCTTGTAAACGTTTCTTTATTTCTTCTTTATCCAGCTTAATTTTATTTTTATCAGCTTGCGATACATTTTTACACATTGAACGTTTCTTTTTTTGTTCCTCAATATAGCGTCTGGCATCTTCTTGGCTGTAGCTTCTTTTTTTCGGTGATTCCTTGGACGATATATCAGTTTGTAGTGGTTGGTTAGATTTAGAACGTTTTTTAGGAATAGAACGAATAGAGCGATGAGATGTTGTTAGATTTGACCGATTGGTGTTTAAATCACTCTTGCTTCTTTGAAAAAGATTTTCTTTTAATAATTTTATATCCGCACCCGCAAAAACATTTTCACTAATTTTACTATGTGGCAATTGTTGTGGAGACTTAAGTTCACTTAATATTTCGGGTATTTTTGGTGAGTTCTCTCTTTCAATATTTTGGTTATTGAATTCTTTGTCGGATTTGTTTACAAATTGGTCTTTACAATATTGGACTGAATGAAGTTTATTTAAACTAGTTTCACTCTGACTTCTATTTGATTTTAATTGCGAGAATTGATTTCTTTGAATTCTTGCAAATTGAGTTCTTATTTCTGGTACTTTTTTAACATTTCTATCTCCTATTAAAGAAAATGAAAATAATTGCATAAAGCGAAATAATCAATTAGGGTTTTTCTTTTTATACCTTGGTAGCTAACACGTTTGATATTTGTAACCGGTTCTAATCTCTTATACCTTTCGAACCCATTTTCGTTATTCAACATTTTATTAGATGGAAAATGTATGTTGCTATTCTACAATAAATGAGATTCAATTACTTATTCAAAAATATAATGTAATAACATAATAATCTATAAACAATCTTATTAGTTACATTATCTGGTCCAAATTTATTGTCAATATTTTGCCATTGAATTGAATTAAAAACGTCCATTTTATTTCCTTATATAAAAAATTTGCATTAAATAGATAAAGCCAAATTTAAATATATAATTATATTTAACTAAACTTATAAGTTTATAAGTAGAAACAATACCACTAATGAAAACAAACTAAAGTAACAAAGAGTGGCGGCATTTAAAATACACAGATTTGTATTTGGTTGACATTCACATATAAACAGGGTTGCATTATTAATAATATAAATTTCAGGTAAAGCATTGTTGATATGTTAAGGCACACATTAGTGTTATGACTATGTTCAGACAGCCAATTTTCCTTAATTTCGTTAAGTCAAATTTCCTTAATGAGTTAATTAAGTTAATTTTGAAAGTGTTCATACTGCCCCAAATTAAGGAAATCATATGTTTTTTGTTTACAAATTGAATGTTTAAAATTACATGCTCCAAACACCATTTGTATCTGGAAAATTTTAAAAGTTGATTATTATGACTATAAGGGTTAGCATTCAGTAGTTTTATTAGCTTTAGTGGAAACGTGGTATGTGAATTATTATTTTTCACTCTATTTTAAATTAAAATCAGTTACAGTTTTTTTCTTTATATTCAAATTTAAAAATTTGCACTACCTTCAAAATATTTATTAGGTATTATTAAAGTCAACTGTCACTGATATTTATTTAAAAAAAATGTCACTTCTTCGTTATCTCAACCAATGAGTATTTAATGAGTATTGAATAGTTTTTGTCTCAACTTTATCTTTTGCTTACAATTTACCTTAGTATTTTAGCCTTCATTTCAACGAAATTAAGGCCATTTTCCTTAATATACACGGAATTATAAAAATTATTAATATGCAGTACTTTAATAATTAGTTGTACGAAATTTGTGGCATATAAAGGAATTTACACAATTATTTATCTAAACTCAAATGGTGGAAGGCATCTGTAGACAATAAAATGAAAAATAGGCAATAAGATAAAACCAAAAATCCGTATTCCATGCAGAATGCTGTGATATATAAAATAAATATCCGCTGATGATGTTGTTAGTTTAATTTTATTATTATATTTAATTTTTTTTTCACAAACTAATTAATTTTTATTTTTTTTCGTTCGAATAAAGCGTAAAAATTTAATAAAAAGTTTTATTAATTAAATGGAGTTAAATGGCGTGTATTTATATTTACAGATATCTGTGACTTGGTGTTTGCGTTTTTATATAAACCATTTTTTATATATATGAAATTAGTTTCTAAGTCTTGTAACTCTATTCTGTAATTTCGAAAATTATTTAATAAAATTTATATTATAAATTGTTAATAAAAAACCTAATTAAGATACTAATATATTTTAAATATGATTTTTATTTTAACGACTTTGTCAGAAAAGCGCGCATTCCTATAAAAGTAAGTTTTTTTTAAACTTTGCATATACTGTCAAAGGTAGAACTGAATATTTAAAAAGCTGTATGCTAAGAATGATAATTTCTGTTGTATATAATATCTATCAAAGTAAAAATATGAATCTACCTAAAGATGACCTTCGTTATATTTCCTCTTAACACAGATATTGTGCAATTAAGTTGCCGATATTTTTGACATATATTTAATAGTTTTTTCTTTGTTTATATTAAATCAGCGACTTTCAAAAATATTGTCAATATTTATTTTAAAGCATTTTTTTCATATTTTTATTTTTCATACTTAGATGGAAACATAATTCTTTTTTATTTTAGTGAAAATAAAACATTTATGTGTTACTAACATATTTTATAAATAAATAATTATAATTCATTCGCTTATATATGATAATTCTAATAACCATTTCAGTTCATTTCTTTAGTAATATACAATTTTTAATTTTTAAGTTAAAACTTTTTGACCCCAATAAAAAAACCACACATTGGGCAAAAATGATATGCATCTCTACAGGAATCCATGCAATATGGTAAGAAGCAACACCTTAAAAGTATATATGGAAAGGTATTACATAAACAATAAATAAATTAAATAGTTTAATAATTAACTTACAAGCACCACGATAATAACAAACACCTTAAATGCGTTTTAATCGATGGACGATATCTCACTGTTGTTTTTACACGACATTGACAACGAGGACACGTTAATTCCACTGCATTTTCACCCAATATTCCAATCGAAGACGCAGCCTTAGCTATTGATTCCATTTAACAATTTAATTTAATCTTTAAAAAAGTACGAATCTAAAGTTACATAAAATAATGTGGTATGAATGTAATATGAAACAAGTTTTCTTTTTTTTATAACGGGGGCTTGTACAATTTATTATTTGTTTTTGGTATTAAATACCGTTTTTATAGTTATTGATAGCAACCAATAAAGGCGTTACAATTGGGGCAATAATGATTTGTATTTTGACACGAGTTCATGCAATATGGCAAAAGGCAGCAACTAAAATACAGACATTTTTTATGCAAGTTATTATTAATATTATATTAAATAAATATACATATACCATATTTATTTATACAGATAGATTAAGTGATCTTACCATGTACATGAAAGTAGAAGACACATTAAATGAGTTTTTGTAGTAGCACTATGACGGACCCTAGTTTTAATATGTGCTCCACATTGAGGACAATTCATTTCAGTGGAGTTTGGTCCAACAGCTCCATTTGGTTGTAGATATTTTACGGTTGGTGTGTAAGTGAAATTTGGTGTAACAAAATTATGAAGATTTGGTGCTCCGTTATTTTCATTTACAACTGGAGAAGTTGTAGTGTTTAGATTTTCAACTAAATTTTCATAGGGATTATTAGAGAAACTCATATTTAACTGATTTTTATACTTTTCTAATAGTAACAGACTTGCACTCTTTGCAAAGCGAAATAGTACTGCTCTAAAAAGCAAAATTTACAGCATAATTACTGTACAATTCTTATACCAATAATATAAATTTATACAATTTGTTTTTGTAAAGAATACAACTCTATTTTATTACAGCCGGTTTCAGAATATACTAGAGTTAATAGAATACAACTTTTAAGCATAATTTACTTTTAAAATTTATATTTGAAATTAGTTATCGTCTTCGATGGAGTAAAATTAACGATTCATATATAATGCCATTAAATATTTCTTTTGGAATATTAGATAATATATTTATACAAAAAACAATTGAATATTTAAAATTTAAAAACTATTTATACATTCACTGAATCAGAAATACAAATTTCAGGGCTGTATTTAAGTTTATTAAATGCTATATATATGTTTTAGTTGAAAACAGTGGTGGCGAAAATGAGCTAGAACAATGTTTAAAATTTATTTATGTCTATTTATGTAGATATATTTATAAATAATAATGTTAATTTTTGGAATTAAATACAAATAATGAATAAATTAAATAATAGTTCTTCAAAAGAGTCTATTTCAAACAACTATAATTTCTTATTCTACCTGAAAATGGAAAATTTAATATTGAAAAATGGCTTCCTTCACTATGAACATAATCAGCGCGAGACTAAATTTGACACAGACACAGTATAACATTTTACGATAAATTATAATACATAAAAAATACTTTGATCTCTTGTTTTTACATTATTAAATTGTTGCTTTTAGAATGTTTAACTTGCATTTTTAGGACTTTTGGCGTTAGATTGATCACGCACTAGGACAACATTCTTCTGTTCTGGTATTTTCAACTCCATTTATAATACTGGCTTATTCAACAATAAATTTTTTTCACAACTAGTTTTGAATCTTTTATTATATATTGCGTACATTCACTCCGGTATATTTTTACTACGGTTAGTTAAACAACGATTAGCATAAATTATAAGTTATTGCATTTTTTCTTACAAAGTTCATTTTTCTTCTTTTAAGTTCATTATTATTTTTTAATAAATTCTTTTGTTTTTATTAATTTATTAGAATATCAAAAATTATTGTTAAGTCCTTTTTAGTTATGAACTTGATTTTATACAAATTTTGCTTGAATAAATTTGTCGGTCAAATTTTCTATATGTTGAAAATATGTCCATTTCAAAATTTAATGTCCAATTAAAATTCATTTATATCATTAGCCACTTAACAAAATCTCCCATTAATTAACTAAAAAGAACTAATTTTAAAATTTAAGTGAATGGAAGATATATCTCGTTAAATGCTTGATTGAACGGTGTTTAAAGTGAATCTTTCGGTGTATTTTGGTAAAATTACATTATTTGATTTTTATAGTATACCAAATAAATGAGTTTACATTAATAAATTAATAAAACTAAATTTAACATTATAACCGTATTTTTATTTTTCTCCAAAACAACTATGAACGTATATATTTGTGTTTGCGGACTTCCAATAAGTATACTGATTTGTACTGGCCCGTGATCGGATCTGGTTTGGACAGCCCTGGTCTAGATGAAAATTTCTTCTATTGAATTTTTCGTGATGTTTTGTTATAACTGAAGGAGAAGCATTTTGATACTTCGTTTTAGTAATTCGAAACTACATTTTCATAATTGCACCTATGTTTATATTATTAGTAAATGTAATTAAACTCATATTCATATTAGAGTATGAGTTTAAAAAAATTAAAATTTAATTTAATATATTGCTTAGAGTCATTTATGTGTATAATTTATAATAATTATTTAATGTGTATAATTAAGTAAATTACTGTGATATAATTCTGCACATGATCTATAAAAGAAAGTTTTTAAAAATTTTGACTGTAGAAAACAAAAACTTGTTCTAATTAATTTACACATTTTACAGCTTTTTTTGATGTATTAACGTATTACCGCATCTAATGAATTTGTTTATTTTATTCTCAATCATTTGCTTTTAATTGTGTTCAGACCATAATTAAAAAACAGTAATTAAATGATTTCTATACGTTTTTTAATACAAAATTTCTGTATTATGCTCAGTATAATACTACTAAATAACAAATATATACACATATATCCATAAAGAAAGAAATTACTTCACGAACACACAAAATATTTTATAGGCTAATACTTTTTATTATATTTAGAGCTTGAACTGTTCGTTTATCCGATAAAGAGTGCAAGTGTCCACAGTAAAGCAGTTTATTAAAAATGAAAAGTATTGAAAGTTAAATGGAAAATTGTTGCCGCAACATGAGATATGCTTAGCCCGACTAAACCATAAGCAGCAATACGTTGTGTACCAATTATTACTGTAGGCCGTCTTTTTTAGTAGTGGCTTTTGCAAGCCAATTGGTCATTTGGTGAATATGTTTGTGAATAAAATATGTGGAATGCTTGTTATTGCTAGAGTGCATTTAATGTATAATAGTTATCATTATTACATAATCACAACCATAGAAAAAAATATATATTAAAGGTTTTGTGTTATTTATATGAAATTATTTGTTTGTATTACTTATTTCATAAATTTAATACTTTTTTATATAACGTTAATTGAAATTTAGAACGACTCCATAGGACTCTTATATTAAAACTACAAATTGAAATAAAGGTTATCAAATTAACTGATAAAAACTATAATAATTTTATTAATGATTACATTATTTCAAAAATGTTTATGGTGGCATTTGTACAAACACATTTATAAAACGCTAGTAAGGAATTATAATAAGTTGGTTTTTATATATGGTTTTTGATAGTAAAAAACTGATTAAGTACAATAGCAAACACTTGGCTTAAGTAACTAAGAAACTAGATGGTAATCTTACATTTATATGTAAAAAATTTTAATTTAATTAAAAATACCGGCATTTCGCTTTCAGCAAAAAAAAAATCAAATTGTTGAAACATTAGGGCATTTGTAAAAAAATAATTTTTTCAAAAACTTTATTAACTGTTTTTTAATAAAACATCTTTCATTGTATTACATTTATACTGTACATTTACTTTCTTCTTAATTTTATGTATTATATGTAAAAGAATAAAAATGCTCACATTTCAGATTTAAATTGACACTAACGTTTGCATTTTACATAATAATTACCTAAATACATATATGGGTACAAAGACAAAGGGTGGTAACACGGTAACGTTGTAAAATAATAGGCGCTTGAATTAACTTTTATAAATTTTTATCGGTGAAGCAGAGACATTAAAAATTCATATCCGTTGTAAAAAATGTGAAAAATTAGCTGCTAAAACATTTATTCATATAACTTTTTATTAATAATTTATTATTCTTTACAAACTATTTAAACTTTTAATTTCATTTAAATTTTGTAAAACATATGACAATAACTAGCAAGAGCTGTTGTTTAACCACATAACTAAGAAACATCTGACATCATGCCTTGGTAGGTAAGATTAGTTTGCAATGTCCAAAGCTTACTTGAGCAATATATATATATAGTGGCCTGTTATGATATCATGGACGAGTCAGTTTTGATCCTCAAATATTGAAGAATTAATTTTTAGGTAACAGCTCCTTTGAGAAGTAGCGACTCTCGGCATTTATGTAAAAGAATATAAACTTGACAAAGCATTAAATTTATTAGGTTAGGTCCGTAATTTTTAAGGATACCAGCTTTGTCAGATTAGTTATTTAAAGCAGAATAAAGATGCGTACTGATACATGAAGTAGAGTACACTATTCATCTTATCCGTAGAGAAATAATCTTAACAAAAGTCGCTAGTGGGTAAACTAATAATTTTAATAAAGTTAAATATTAAGAAATTTTTTTAAGCTTGAACAAAGTGAATATTATTTATTTCATTGTATTAACTTAGTGAATGTTATGTTTTTATATTAATAATGCATGTTCATGAATTAAAAAAGACGGAGAACACCCCGTCCGACGATCAACGAAAATCTGACTTTATTTTCCAGAGACCATAAAAAGTTCACATAAACAGGGTTGCAATATAAAAATGTAAATTATATAAATACTAAAAAAAGTATAATGAACAACAACTTCTACTATTATTAGAAGTTTACTATTAATACTATTAATGTTTATAGTTTAATAATTGTATGTTGTTTTCATTTTTTAAAAAACGAAACTAGTATTAAGTTTTTAAAATATGTGCCAATATCAAGGAAAGTGTGAATATATTCATGCATTGGTATACATAATTTTTGAATAAACATGCAAATAATTTGCGTGCGGCATATAAGGAAGCAAATCTGATATGCACCATTGGCAAAATGTGTTATATCGTTAAATTTCAATTATTTAAAAATTTTAAGAAATATTTTTGAGAAAAAATATATGTGTATAGATATAATACAAAATAATTATTATGAGATTTACGCTAAAAATATTTGCTTAGTATTTTGCTGTTAACGCCGTTCTTTCATCAAAGGTATTATTTGAACATGCAAAGCAAGACGTAAATAATAACTTTATTAAATTCACATATTTACAATATGCGAATTATAAGTTTAAGCAAGCTATTAACAATTCGTGTTACAAAATGAATTTAGTGTAGTGAGCAAAAAAGTTCGGCCAATAACATAAGAATATGATAATTAAAAGTAGCGTAGAAATGTTAACGCGGCTAAAGGATGAGGAGAAAATAGAAACTAATAAACATAAAGTAGAAGATAAACGTTTACAGTAATAAGATTTGAATTTTTCTATAGTTTACGTAAATAGAAAGCAATGTAATTTTATACGTAAATGTTCTAAATGTAATAACAAATAAAAGGATAATTAAAAGAGGGAGTTTGTTATCAAATTATATGACAAATTCAGAGAGACAAAATGTTAACTATTCAGTGTTTAACAAAAGTATTTTGATCAAGAATGTTGAAGTAATATTACATCGCTTATATTATAAAATAATAGCCTGTTGCAGCAACGAATGAACAAATAATATTAATTTAAGAATTCGTGTTGACTTAAATTGTTTATAGTTAGAAAACAAATAAAAATAATACAAAGAAATA